TATCCAGCACTTTGAGAGGCCTGAGACCGGCGGCGGATCACGACCGGTCAGGAGATGCGGAGACATCCTGGCTAACACAATGAAAACCACCGTCTCTACGTAAATAATACAAAAAAACTTAGCCCGGGCAGTAGGAGTAAGTGGCCCCCCGGGCCTGTAGTCCCAGCTACTTGGTGAGGTGAGCAGAGAATGGCGGAGGGAACCGGGAGGCGGGAGCTTGCAGTGAGCGACGATCCGGCCAACTGCACTCCCAGCCCTGGCGACAGAGCGACGACTCCGCTCTCACAAAAAAAAAAAAAAAAGAAAAAGGAAACGGGGCCAACGCCACAGCAGTGGATGTCCCGATGCCGAAGTCACTGGGAAGCCCAGGCCAGAGCCCCTCAGGTTGAAAGTCATACAGAGTTTCTGTGTGGGCTTCATTCCTTCTTAAAGTTTAGTCACTGAAATTCTTAAAAATCTTCACCCTTGGCTGGGCATGGTGGCTCACGTCTATAGTCCTAGCACTTTGGGATGCAGAGGTGGGCAGACTGCCTGAGCTCAGGAGTTCCAGACCACGCTGGGCAACATGGTGAAACCCCACCTCTACTAAAAATACAAAAATTAGCTGGGCATAGGAGCATACGCCTATAGTCCCAGCTATTTGGGAGGCTGAGGCATAAGAATTGCTGGAAGCTGGCAGCAGAGATTGCAGTGAGCTGAGATCGTGCCACTACACTCCAACCTGGGCAAGGAGAAAAACCCCATTGAAAATAGAAAAAAAAAAAAAAAAAAACAAAAGCTGAGCAAGTGCTATAATTCCAGCACTTTGGGAAGCCAAGGTGGGCAGATCACTTGAGGTCAGGCGTTTGAGACCAGCCTAGCCAACATGGTGAAACCCTGTCTCTATTTTAAAAATACAAAAATTTGCCGAGCGCAATGGCTCACGCCTGTAATCCCAGCACTTTAGGAAGCGGAGGCGGGCGGATCACGGTGAGGTCAGGAGTTTGAGACCAGCCTAGCCAACATGGTGAAACCCTGTCTCTATTTTAAAAATACAAAAATTTGCCGAGCGCAATGGCTCACGTCTATAGTCCTAGCACTTTGGGATGCAGAGGTGGGCAGACTGCCTGAGCTCAGGAGTTCCAGACCACGCTGGGCAACATGGTGAAACCCCACCTCTACTAAAAATACAAAAATTAGCTGGGCATAGGAGCATACGCCTATAATCCCAGCTACTCAGGAAGCTAAGGCAGGAGAATTGCTTGAACTCGGGAGCAGAAGTTACAGAGAGCCGAGATTGCACCACCACACTCCAGCCTGGGCGACAAAGCGAAACTCCCTCTCAAAAAAAAAATCTAGAAAACTATAGATCATTCCAAGCCTACAGACTAAAATCTTTTACAACATCTATTCCGTGAAAAGACGTGGTAAACAAGCAGAACCACACTTCAGGGGAATATCAGGAAGCTGCGCCAACAGGAAGCGCAACGATCACCCAGCACGGGCCCTGCAGGTTGTGCCTGCGTCCTCCCAGGGTCCTGCACTGCAGGCGCCTTGTGGACCCAATGCTTGGACACGCTTACCTCTGCGGGGGTATGTAAGGAGCGCACACAGTCGGCAGGACCGCGCAGGGCTCAGCCAGAGCCTTCTTAGCCTTTTTTGCCTTCTTCCTGACCTTGGATGTGGACCTGACCGTTTTGACCGAGCTGTCTTTTCGACAGACGCCATTTTTCATTTCGACATCCCCGTAAATATTCAGAGGCCTCCGGGTGCAGCCTGGAGGTGTGTGGACATCACAGTAAGCGGTCTTTCTGACGGAGAAGGTGGTGCCACCACCAGTCAGTTCCTTCACGGGCTCCATTTTCATGTACAGGCCAGCCTTCTGGGCACACGTCACATGGAATGCTGTGTAGCAGTTTGCTTTGTGGCACTGGATGCAGGCACCCACGCCCTTCTGCTTACAGAGGTAGCATGTCAGTTTCCACCGGGCTGGGGGAATGTTCCTCACCCCGTCAATGGGCTCGATGAACACCGTGTTGGCAAAGCCGACCTCTGGGATCCACAGGGCACACACCACGTGACCCCAGCGGTCGTCATCTGTCTTTTTGAAGGCACCACCCTTGTTGGGGCACAGCACACAGTCGGCGGGCCGGGCCCGGGACTGCAGGCAGTGGCGGCAGAGCCACTGGCCCTCGGGGATGTAGGGCACCCCGTAGCACTCCTGGTGCACGGCCAGGTTGCACATGTCGCAGAAGAGGATCACGTTGCTGTTCTGGCACTCCCCGTCCATGCAGATGCAGCACACGGCGTCCTCATCGATCAGAGACTGCTGCTCGCCCTGCTTCTGGTTCTCGCAGTGCGACTCCTTCTCGAAGCGGTCCATCAGGAACTCAAACATGCTCTGCGACACGGCGGGGACGCAGTCGCCCTTGCGCTTCTCGTTGACGATCTCCAGCCAGGCGTAGTCTTCCTCGTCCATGTCGTACTCCACCTCGTTGTCCAGTTCCTCGGCTGACTTCTCGATGAACTTGTAGTACACCGGAGGCCTCCTGGGGGCGGACGGAGGGCTGTACTCCACGATGCGCACCTTGGGCTCTGGAAGGGCGCTGGCCGAGGCCGGCATGCCGTGGGCGCTGGGGAGGGCTTCATTTTTCTTTTTGACTCTGTTGTTTTTGTGACGCTTAGTTCTTAAGCAGACAGGGGGCCGCTCGCTGTTTTCCTTATTGCTGTTGCATTCACTCATCTCTTGAGCCGTGAGGTCATCTTCTAATATGATCTCCAGGGGATCAAAAATACTGATCCTGTGCAAGCGCCCTTCAATTTCTATCTCTACCATCCTTTGAGCTTGAGCGTAGGTCAGCGTTTCTCGCGTGGGGGAGTGTTTAACACTGCACGGGGAGGAAGGATGCCTCGCTGCAGAGCCTCGATGACATCGTCCTTTCCTCCTCATTTGGTAATGATTACCTAAAATAAAGGCAAAGGTAAAGTTAATTCTATGCAGGGTGACCAAAGACTCGAGAAAGCTGCAAAAGTACGCTTGGGCAGATCTAGCTCACCAGCTCAAAACCCAATCAAAGCAAAACTCACAACTAACTTCTTTCCGAGGTGTCAAAAATCACGCATCCAGGCCCGAGCAACTCCCCAGGACCAGGGAGAGAACAGCGGTAACAGGCAGAGAGGCAGCCTGAGGAGCCCTCCTGAGCACCTGCATCCCTATCACCACGCCCCAGTCCCCTCTCAGACCACACCAACAGGCTGCGGAGACCACAGAAATGCTCCCCAAGAAGGAGGGGTCTGGCCCAGAGCCCACAGCTGCAGGACTTCCCTGGCATGCAGGCGATCCCCCAGGAAGTCCACATATAGGGCTGGACCTCACCAGACACAGAGGCTATGCCCACCAGAGAGGCATGCTCAGTGGCTACCTGGTCCTATCGGATACTCCCCCTAAACCACTCTTCCCCTCCCCACTGCTCCCAGGAGAGCACCCACATGAGCCCAAAGTCACCACGGTCCTTGCAGCATTCCTGCTGGGCTAGGGGGTAGGAGACAGACCACAGTCTGTCCATGCTCTATAGACAGGCCCTCCACACGCACACCACAGCACAGGGGACCAACAGGGGAGCCCTGTACTGGTCTGAGGGGACAGTCTTCGCCCCTGGGAGGCCCTAACCCCACTTCTGCAGAGCCTTGGCAGTGACCACCATGGAAACACCCACAGGCCGAGTCAACCTGCCGCTTCCCCTCAGGGGCACTCCTCAAGCCCCAGTGAGACAATGGTGCTGGCCATGTCCTCCTCCTTTCCGAGCGAATCCGGATACGTGCAATACACCAAAGGGCATCTCTCTGTTCTCCCCGGCACACGTGAAGGTAGACGCTCTGCTCAGGCTACACAGCGAGGGGCGGCCCCCAGGACCCCCTAGAAGCTTGCAGAGACCCTCACCAGGAGGGTTGCCAGCGCTGGCTCAGGTGCCTGAAGGCTTGGTCACAGAGATTTAGGAGAATTTGCCTTTCCAGAGGTGGGCAAAATCAGTGAGCTGCCACCCATACCTCCAGCTCCTTGTGGCAGAGGCCTCTGCTGTTCGAACACCACGGACTGTGTCTGCTCCCAGCTGTCCCCGGGGTGCCTCGTGTGTGGGCACCTCCAGTGAAGACCACCACCCGCCGGGCAGTGCCTCCCTCCAAAGCGCCACACTTCACTGACAGGAAGCAACATGATTTTTCAGTGACTGACTCGCAAAACAAATATTCGCAGCTGAAGCCCAAGGCCCACTCTGCATCTAGCCCTGCAAGGTCAGGGACGCCTGGCCTCGGGGCCCAGGGGGAGCAGGGGCACCCGCAGCAGCCTGGCTTCAGAGCCTCACCCTGGGCCTAGATCTACTGGGCCTCAGAAAAAGCCCTCAGGGAGCAGGCTTCCCTCTGTGAGTCCCGAAAGGAAATCCCAGCCGACTTCAAGGGCACTTCTTAAGACAGACCCTTCAGCCACTGTGTATCCTTCTCTGTATCAGACAGAAATCCTCATTGTATGTTGAAACTAGATTGCAATTACCTACGGAGAGGACAGGAGAGAAAATGTGGTCAGCCAAACCTCAGCCCCCTTGCATCTCCAGGGCCTCCAGGTACCCACTCAACCCTGGATTCCTGGAGAGCTGTCAGTACAGCCCAGCCGGCCCTGGGAGCCCTGCAGAGGTGACACCACAGCCTGCAGAGAGCTACCCCAGTGCACCCGGGACGGCGACACGCGTCATTACTGAGGTGGGGCAGAAGCAACAGTTGGTTACTCACCAGATCAGAAACGAACCTGTAATTTTCCCCTCGACAGCAAAGTCCTGAGTCGCCCTAACGACAAGCAGCCCCCGGAAACCCACTCTCTCCCAGGGAGCCGCGAAGCTCTTTATCTCAACACTTTCTACAAGGGGAGGACTGAACCGAAGGCTTCACGGCCACAGCAGCTCTCGACACGGAACCGGGACCCGGGGAGAGTAGACCCTCGGCAGCGCAGGGCGACCCACGCCCTTCCCTGTTTCCCCGCTTCCCCCCTGGGCCGGTTCTGTCCGTGCTGGGACACGCATTTCCACCGGGAGGGATCCGCGGGGGCACACACGTCGCTTCTCAAGGAATAATTCCCTTAAGTACATCCTGAAGAGCTCTGCGGGCCAAAAGCAGGGAAGGCTGCTGCCCACAAGACGGCCGCTTCCCTCTTCCCACCGCCCGCCCAGGGAGAAGCCGACCACGCGCCGGGCCTCTCCCTAAAGGCCACGGGAGCCGCGGCCGCTGAGTTGTGCGAAGTTGTGTGCAGCACACGGCACTCGGGACGGCGCTGGGCCAGGCAAACAAAAACCTCCGCCGATTCCACTAACTACACAACCACCTGGCGACCGACCCTCAAAAACAGACCCGGACGGCCGCGCTTTCTGGGGGACCGGCCCGCACCCCGCGGGGCAGGGGCTCCTGCTGCTGAGGATTCTCAGAACTCCCGCGTCCGCTCACAACAGCCGCGTTTCCCGTGAACTGCGCTTCAATCGTGTCACTCGTTTAAAAGGCCCGGGGAAGCCTCGCGTTCGTCGCGAGGCGTCTCCCTGCAAACGCCCGGGGAGGCGGCGGCGCCGGTTCTCCAGCCCGGCCGCTGCAGGCCGCGCGGCTCCTGGGCGATCTCGGGGCGCGTCCCTGCTCACAGGGAGTTCCCGTCTGGGCAGAGCTCGGCCGGCCTGTCTGTTACATAAGGGGCGGCCCGGCCGGCTCGGCGGCTGCCCGAGGCCCGACCCGACTCGAGCGCGGACTCTGGGCGGGCGCCGCGGCCCAGGCCGCCGAGACCCATAGCCCGACTCGGCCTCCCTCGACTCCCCGGCCTGACCTCCCCGGTCTCCCCGCCCGGCCTCCCAGGCCCCCTGCCTGTCTCCCCGGCCGCCCGGCCTGACCTCCCCGGTCTCCCCGCCCGGCCTCCCCGGCATCCCGGGCTCCCGGTCGGCGGACAATGCGGAGCCGCCGCCGCCGCCGCCGCCAAACATGGCGTCTCCCGGGCTCCCGGTCGGCGGAC